TTTTGTTTTCCAGATAGCATTTTCCAAACACTGCCCCTCCTGCAGTTTTATTTCTTACCTTTTCTTGTGTTAACAGTTTATAAATTCTTTGCAATAGGGAATGTGCTCTCTCTCTGCTCACAAGCATACTAAACTCACATGCTACAATCAATGTTTAATAATAACTTAAAATCCAGTAAAGTTAAAACCAGAATGGTACTAGAAGGTAATTTCTCTCTTTATTAAACTCTGTAGTATGTAATTACATACTTGTCTATAGAATATGGCAGTCTACAGAGCGCAAAGAGCTGATATCTCTTAATAAGCCGTCACTGGAGTGCCTCTACATACTTCAGCAGCGCTACGTTCTTACTTGCTGGACAAAACAATATCCAGCATCACAAAGAAAGGTGGTAGCCCTAGTAATTCTGAGCACTGCCAGTATTTGCAGTTAGAATTTGTTTGGTTGCTTGCTTGTGGCTTGAGTTTTTTGTGTTTGCTTTTGGCTAGCCCAGAGAAGGGACCTCTGGAGGTCAGCTAGTCCAGCCTCCCACTCAAAGGTGGCCTATCAACAGCAATAGCTTAGGTCAGCCATACTTTTGTCTAGCCAAATGTTGAAAATCTCCAAAGATAGAAAGTCCACGATCTCCTGGGCAACCTGTTCCAAAAATGCTCTACCCTCCTAAATGAAAGTACTACATCAACTTAGTGAGACAACAGATTATCCAGCTTGGCATCTAACTTACCAAGTGGTCCCCCTAGGATCTTGCCAATGGAAAGCCATGAGTTCTTCCAACAAGCAAACAGGGTAATTACTTAATTTCAACACTGATTTTTTTTTCCTTAGCAAGGTCACTCTCTCTCCATTGCAGTAGAGGCAGCCTGGGAAGACTAGAGCAGGTAAAACATAGGTGCCCACAGTTTGATACACAGGATACCCAACATTAGCTTGAAATTAAAATTACTTGTGCACAACACTGAGCAAGCTGTATATATATGCATATGTGTATAAGGTATTATTTATATGCAGCGATTATTATTTGCAAGAGAAATAAAATCTATTGTGCAATTAATTCATCTTGAAATTCAATACTTAGAAGCAATTTTGTCTTTACTAAACATTTTATTTTCTTTAACCCAGGTATGGTGACATGGTGCCGAAGACAATAGCTGGCAAAATTTTTGGTTCAATATGCTCCCTCAGTGGGGTCTTAGTCATTGCTCTGCCAGTTCCTGTAATCGTCTCCAACTTCAGCCGTATCTACCACCAGAATCAACGAGCAGACAAGCGGAGGGCACAAAAGGTGAGCTTCTAATTTTTGCCCCTTTTGTTGTGGAGCAATAGATAAAATATGACTTTTTATATGCTGTGCATCCTCAAAACTACTATGTGTATGTGCTACATGCCTAGCCCATGACCCAGATGCAAATACTGTGTTATTTTTAGTGAAAAAAAAAATGGTTAGTTTATCTTTTCTGTCAAAATTTACAGATCTATTATTGTGGTAATTCATCCTATTTGCTAGACTAGATCTAGCATTTTCAGGCAATAGCTGCAATCCCACCCACTGAAGATTTTTCTGTGTTTTTCAAGCAGAATTTATTTCCACCAGAGTCTTCCGAGGAAAAAAACAACCAGATTAAAAAAAAAAAAAACAAACTAATAATGATTTCTAATGTCTATCCTAACAGCCTGCTTCACTAATCCATGTGTTTAATTCTCAGGTTCAGTCCCTGGGGAATCTGATTATTGGGGAACTTGTCTCCTCAGCTCTAGTTTGTTTAAAAAGCTTTAGAAAAAGATCTTAATCAGGAAAAGCCAAAAGCAAAAGTCTGTTTTTCCAGCTTCCTTGATTTGCCAAATCTCTCACTAAAATATCAACCAGCTCTACAGCAAGACAGTTTCCGTCCCTGACCCATATGGGCAAGGTCAGGAGCCAGGAAGAGCTATTTACCAGGAGAGATGCAGCCAAGCCCGGGCAGTCACCTTCATTTCCACATCACTGCCAAACTACTAGTCCAAATCCACTTTGCCCAACCCTATAACGCTAAGCAGTTCAGATAGCCTCCGTTGGCACCTGAAGCCCTGAGAAGGGAGCCGAGATGCGTTACCTTCTGCTCCTCTGCCGGTGGCAGTCAGAAGGCTCTGGATGCAACACAGACCTTGCCAAGGCCAAGGTGTCACCATTTGGGCTTCTTGTGGTCCCATGGCCTCTCTTCAGAAGTTCTGAGTCTCCAGTGGTCCAGGGAAAGCGGGATCACTGCCCGCAGAGGCATGCAGGCAGGCTGTGGATGGGGATTACGTACATAAACCAGGGAACACGGGCTGCCACAGGCTGCATCTGCCTCATGTAGACAACAGCACCAGGTTTAGAGATACAAAATGCTTGTGTATTTCTTTCTGGGCTTTGACCAGAAAAGTCACAATTTTGACTGATCTTTTCATGGAAATGAAGTAAATGTACACAGTGTACATTCCGAGAATATCTTAAAATCAGGAGAAACAGATACACATGGCTAAGAACATCAGTCATAGGGCCAGGCTAAGATGTTCAATGCTACTGTTTAATGGCCACATCTTGGAAGAACGCTGTCAGCTGAGGAAAATGGCTATAAAAAAACCCAGGTGTATCACAGAAATGTCACACCTTTCTAGAAGCCTGATTTCAAATATATACTGCTTCAGTGATCCAAATACTATACCTTACCTATCTACTAATTCCACCCACCCTTTTGCATGCCGTTTTGTCCCGTGCTAGTTCCAGCTGTGCATTCCCCACTCCCACAGCTGGAACATGCAGAGAACACATCACTTCTACACTACTTTTCCACTTCTGTTTGTGTAATGGCAGCAGTCAGAGAAAGAACAGTATGTATCAGCCAGAACACAGTGCTTCATTGCTGTGCCTCCGAGCATTGCACCAGTCATGGATAACAGATCTGCTTGATCCCAGCAATCAATGTGCCTGTTCTGAGCTTTCATAATAACTGCAGACACAACCATCCTTACTTCAGATAGAAACTGTCTCCTACTGCATGTCATGAAACAGAATTTTCTGTGCCTGCTTTACACTTGCCAGTGAAAAAGAGATGGACACTAGGAAATACCTTGCAAAAATTAGATTGGCAAACTGGCTGATATTCCTCATAATCTCTTCCTGAATAGAAACTGCTTCAGTTAATAACTGACTTTTTCTCCTTGCAAAACAGTGAGCTCATTGTACGTTTCAAACAGGAATATGAAGTGGTGAATGGCAATCCTGCCAAGTGTCTTTTCCTCTGCTCCCCAGAACAATGCCAACAGTAAGGATGAGAGATTTCCTCTGACCGTGTTTATGCCCTTCTTGCTTTGGAGAAAATGACTTTGAGGTCTGATTAACTTAGCACTGGATGTGTGTTTCATTGATACCGCTTATCGCAAAGTTAATCTCTGTCAATCTAAAATGACTGAGATGTTGAACTGAATATTGCTCTGACAGACTGAAAAAAAATCAACAAAAAGCACTTCTTGGGTACTGCATAGTCCATATTTAGCAATATTTAGCTATGAAATATAGCCCTGCATTTCACAGAAGGGTTCTACTGCATTGTATAAGAATATTCAAGCAAAAAGGTCACATTATTGAAGTTTGAAATTCCTTCTTCTTTCAATACAATAGAAACTTTACACAGTTTTCTAAAATAAATGTTTCCCTAGGCACCAACCTTATTTCTATTCTCTAAGGCTGAAGAACATAAGCTTGAAAGAAGGTGCTGTTTCATGGAGCACAGCATGAACCCCTGCAGGTGATGGTACCTCCTGCTGGCTACAACAGCTTCCATCTGATTGAGAGAGTTGGATATCTGAATTGTGCAACTTACTGTATCAGTATCTCATACAGAAGTTTAATCAAGGTAGTCTTCAGAAATGGCAAAACATTTAGGCT